CGGGAAGGCCTTAGAGAGGAGCTCATTGGATGACAGCCCTAACATAGAAAAATGTTCTGATCAGCAGGAATGAGATAGGGAGACAGACAGAAGAGATTTCTGAGCAGAGGAAGCAGCAGGGCCAAAGTCGTGGCTTTCAACATACCAACTTTATAGTTGCATAGTGCTGTATTATTATTATTATTATTATTATTATTATATTTTATATTTTGTACACCCAGTGGCCAGACATCGCATAACTTAATATGTGATTAACCCAATAAATCTTGCACTCATCCAGCACCGCACATAGTTATTAAGATGTTATTGACTGTATTCCCTATGCTATACTTTACCTCTCCATGACTATTCTCTAACAACTAATTTGTGCTTCTTAATCCCTTCACCTTCTTTGTCCACTCCCACCCCCTCTCCCACCTGGTAACCAACAAAAAAAATTCTTTGTATCTATGAGTCTGTTTCTGTTCTGCGTGTACATTTTGTTTGCTGATTCAATTATTGATAAATATGTATTTATTGCCATTTTATTGTTCATAATCTTTATCTTCTTTTCTTCTTCTTTAAGAAGACCCTTAACATTTTACATAATACTGGTTTAGTACTGATGAACTCCTTTAGCTTTTTCTTCTCTGTGAAGCTCTTTATCTGACCTGCAATTCTGAGTGATAGCTTCACTGGGTAGAGTAATCTTGCTTATAGGTCATTGCTTTTCATCACTTTAAATATTTCTTGCATTTCTTTCTGGTCTGCAAAGTTTCTGTTGAGAAATCAGTTGACAGTCATATGGGAGTTCCTTTGTAGGTTCCTAACTACTTTTCCCTTGCTCTTTTAAGATTCTCTATTTGTCTCTAATCATTTGCATTTTAATTATAATGTGTCTTAGTGTCGGTCTCTTTGGGTTCATCTTGGGCTCTCTGTACTTCCTGGACTTATATGTCAATGTCCTTCACCAGGCTAAGGAAGTTTTTTCTGCCATTATTTTTTCAAATAGGTTTTCAATTTCTTGCTCTCTCTCTTCTCCTTCTGGCACCCCCATGATATGAATGTTGATACACTTGAAGTTGTCCCAGATGCTCCTTACACTTTTTTTTTAATTCATTTTTCTTTTTGCTATTCTGATTAAGTGGGCTTTTGTTTTTGTTTTGTTTTATTTTGTTTCTTTGTTTCCTTATATTCCAAATCACAGATTTGATTTGCAGCTTCATTTATTCTACTGTTGATTCCCTGTAAATTATTCTTTATTTCCTTTAGTGTAGTCTTCATTTCTAACTGGTTCTTTTTATGCTATTGAGGTCCTAACTAAGTTCCTTGATTATCCTTATAATCAGTGTTTTGAATATTGCATCTAGTAAGTTGCTTATTTCCATTTTGCTTAGTTCTTTTTCTGGAGTTTTATTGTATTGTTTCACTTGGACCACATTTTGTTTGTCTCCTCATTTTGGCCACCTCCCTGTGCTCGTTTCTGTGTATTCGGCAGAGCTACTATATCTCCCAGACTTGGTATCATGGCCTAATGTAATAGGTGTCCTTGTAGGGACCAGTGGCACAGTCTCCCTGATCACTCCTGCTGGGCACTTGAGGTGTGCCCACGTGTGGGCTGCATAACCTCCTATTGTAGTGTGTCTTGATTACTATTAGCACATCAATGGGAGGGATTTACCCAGGCCAATCGGCTGTAAGGATTGGCTGTGACCACTGACCACCTACTTCCAACCATCTTGGAGAATCAGATGTGTGGGGACCCACAGCACAGAGCAGGACTTACTTCAGCAGGGCTCTAGTGCTCACTGAGACCACCCCTTAAAAGTGTCACTTAGATGTGGTCTAGCTCTAGGACCTCCTGGGAGGTGCAGGCCAGTATCAGCTACCACTTTTGTTCTACTGGGGACCACCTGGAATAAGCCACAAAGCAATGTGCAGATAGCTGCTTCCTGTGCTAGGCTTGGAGGTACCCAGGCAAGGCCAAACTGTGAACCAAGGTCAGATGCTGCTAATGTGGGGCCTAAAGCCACTTAGTGAGAGGTACAGGCTCCCTGAAGCCATATGCTGCTTGGTCAGAGATTATAGGAAAACCTGAAGCATAAGCTGAGAAGAGCTATTCCTATGGTAAAGCCACTGGAAAAAGCTTGGGTAGGCTCAAAAGTTGGTTGGGTGGGGTCTCAGGGAGTCACCAGGGTGGGGCAAACAGTAAGAATCAAGTTGATGAAATTTCAAATCTCAAGTTGACTCCTGTCTGCTGGCTGTATGGGGGAAGTACTCATCAAAGGAACAGTGGCCTCTGCCAGCACTTATGTCTGGGAGAAAGCTGCCTCTCCAGCTCTTGCCCTGATGCTAAACAATTCAGTTTCTCCCCATATGCCTCCATTGTCTTTCAAGCTGTTGTCCCAGTGCTGGCGTTCAGAGGGAATGAGTCTGAGTAAGTCCATGTGTGGACTCTTTAAGAGGAACTGCCTGGGACTCCAGCAGCCTCCCTGTGGCAGCCACAATCCCCACTGGTTTTTCTAGCCCAAAGTGACCGGGACTTCTCTTTCTGGCATGGGAACCCTGGGCTAAGGTGCCTGGTGTGGGTCTGGGACCCCTCGCTCCTCAGAAGAGACTTCTGCAGCTGAGGTATCCCTCCTGATTTTTATCTGCCACATGTGGGTGTGGGACCAGCCCATTCCACCCCTCCATCCCTCCTATCAGTCTTGATGTCCTGCTTCTTGAATTCTCTAGCTGTGGGACTTCCACTCAGCCAGATTCCAGGTGGTCCTTACTGATAGTTGTTCTGTAGTTAAGTTGTAATTTTGATGTGGTTGTGGGAGGAGGCAAGCACCGTCTTGACCTGTGCCGCCGCCATCTTGGCCGGATGTCCAGTATGATGCCAGTTTTACAGTGACAATGGCAACTTAAATCAAGCCCACTTCCCTGTTCTCCTGAGCTCCTGATACTAACTGGCGGCTGTCACATGGGCTGTTAAAGGTTCTGTGTGGTGTCTGACGGGTGCTTCATGCATGTGCACACATGCATGCATGGTGCTGACAAGCGCTTGGTACTTGATACTTTCAAGAGGGACCCCTTGAAAGTCAATGTGTCCTTGTTATGGGATAGATAGCAAAGAATATAATCCTGACTTGGATCCAAAAGCAATAAACCTTTCCTCCCTTTTGTTGTCCCTAATAAAAACCTGCAGAAGGCTGATGCCAAATTCATTATGACTGGACCCACCTCTGCAGTTTTTCAGGACCCTCAGACCTCCCACCTTATAGAAGTTTCGTGAAAACTGGGGTTTCCTCGTGTTCCTGCCCCCAGGCTAAACCCTTCATTTGCTTGAGGCAAAGGGTGTGTGAGGAATTATAAGAGCTAACCAATAAAACAACGATAATAACTTATCCTTATAACTGTAGAAGTTATATAGATGTCTGCCTCTCTGGGGTGGGCAGAGACCTCTTTTAGCTCAGAAACGGTAATGGGATGGGAAAGGGACTGAGAGCAATGCCATGCTGGGAATGTAGGAAGGCAGGTCCTGCCCTGTCTGAAGCAGGATGGTGGCAGGACAGAGCAACTGCCTCAGGTCACAGCTGACCCTCATTCTCGGAATCCAGGGCAACAGCAAGCTTCAGAGCCCAGGATGGTGCATGGGCCATGCTGGAATTGGGCCAGGTAAGGACGGAACATTCTAGACAGTTTGGGGGTTAGACCTAAGACCAGTGAGGTCACCCCATACACGGAGTGGTGTGCCGGGAGCAGCTCTGCTGTCCTTTTCTCTGCACACCGATACTGAAAGATGCTGTAGGGCCAGGACCCCTCACACCAGTTTGCTGCCCAAGAAACATTTATTAAAGGGGAGCCCCAATTAATAACCCACCCCCCCAGCAGGAGATTTAGGGAGCTGGCTGGCATTCCATATTAAGTTGGCTAACAGCATCTGTACTCAAAGTTTATTCCACATGAAATGTTCCTTTAAAATACCCTGAAGCCAAAGCCACATGTGGACCTGCTGTCATGATTTCGGAGAGTAGGCTCCGGGGCTCCACCAGGCATTGCCATGGGCGGCAGCTGGTGCCCAGGCTACAGCCTTGCTCCTCCAGGTGCGGCCCATGGAGCACAGCATTAGCATCTCTAGGAGCCACTGGACATGCAGGCTCCCAGGCCCGCCAGCCCTCTGACTCGGGCCCTGCTGAGCACAAGGTCCTCAAGTGCTTTGTTTGCACATTAGCGCTGACGAGCACCAGCAAGACGCCCTTTAATGGGCCCTAATGGGCCTGGGATTGACGTGGCTGCCAAATGGAGCAGCGGAGTGCCGGGCAGTGATGACCCGGTGGGGGTTGGGCCGCTGCTGAGAGCAAGCTGGGAGCCACTCAAGAAGCTCGCAGAGCGGGGAAGTGTCTGGCTGCTGCTGCATCTGCACAGGTTCACTCCCCCACACTGCCCACCCCACAGGACAGCTCCCAGGGCTTCGGCTGGTCACTGACCAGGTAACTGCCGCTGGTCCAAAACGGGCATCATCCCCACACGCCATGATGGTGTGAATTGAATTGAAAAAGCTCCTGTAGACGCTCATGGCAGACAAAGGTTAATTACTGGCCAGAGCTGTCCAGGAGCAGACGTTAACAATCCTCTTTCTCAGCCCAGGGAGGTTAGGGTCCTGCCCACAGTCACCTCGCTATCCCACCACCCAGGAAGAAGTTTGCTTTGCTTATCATTGTCTTCCTGCGCCAGCCAGGGGAGAAAGAACAAGGGCGGCCAGCAGAGGCGGAGCCTGGAGCGGCCTGGGCTCCTGGGGCCAGCCCACGGAGGAGTGTGGGCCCGGTGGGAGGCGGGCGCTCCTATTTGGAGCCAGGCTGGAGCATCCGCCAGCCCAGCAGCAGGGGCCGGGCGGACACACGCTGGGGCTGCCCCAGGCTGCACAGAGCCAGGCAGGCTTCTCCACAGCCCAGTCACAGAGGAGCGGCCGCAGGAACGAGGTCACGGCCACGGAGGGCGGCTGCACTGAAGAACGAGAAACCAGGTCTCCGGCAGGGTGTCAGAACGAAAGCTTTATTTAATGGTTCATTGTTTCCAGAACATCACTGGCAGCTGGGAGCCAGAATGCAAGGGTGATTTCTGTAACTGAAGAGTAATTAAAATCTGACAGATAATGGAATTGGAACAGTAAAACACTTTAACTATAAATACACGCACAGACATCGCCCAGGCCTAACAGCCACTCGGCGTGCTCCGCGCCCCTGGGCGGAGCTCCGAGCTGCCGAGACCCGGGAGCTGTGGATGTTTCCCGAGAACTTACGTAAAAGCCACACATTACAGACTTAGAAAAATTATCACAAAGCAACTTTTAAAATATTTAACATGTTTATTCTACAAAGAATGAGCACTTCTGAAATATTACAAACAGTGAAATAACTATAGTAGATTATGGATATGTACAACGCACTACTTTGTTTCAAAAACGCAGGAAGATAAAGTTTGTGTGTTAATATATATGTTATTTAGATCTGATGACAATTCAGTATTGCTCTGGTTGGTCCTGCGGTATTGCATGCATGCCCGGGGCACGCCATGGCTTGTCGCTGATGGAGGGCCGGGGGCGGGACAGGGAGCAGGAGCCCGTGTGTTTCCAGAAGCCGGCCGAGCGCTCCAGGCCTTCGGCTTTCTGTGCGTCAAACCCGCCCACCCACACTGAGGCGCATCCTCAGAACCAGCTCCCCATCCCGCGGCCACCACTGCTCCCCTGGGAGAGACCCCGAGACCCCGGCCACAGGGTCCACACTGTCAGTTTCCTGCCCCGAGAGGCACCTCAGGCTGCGTTGGAGCTTCGCTAGCTTCCTGTGACCAGTTTCCATGGTATGGACCCTCACTCCCTGAGCTCTGAGCACTAAAACCACGGCCTGGCCTGGCGCCAGCAGCACTCTGCCGTCAGGAGGACGCTGGCGGGAGGCTCACCCTGGGGCCTGGGACAGGCCAGCGCGGCGACACCAGCTTACTGCCAGCACAGACCCACCCGGGCCCCGGGCCCTCTGGCCAGGACGTCCTGACCCAGAGCCAGATCAAAAACCGACACATTTCTCTAAGAATAGAAACAGGAAACAGGTAGACACAAGTTGAAAGACAACTGTCCTAAAAATCCACCCATTAGCTCTCCCTGACGGCGGTGGACAGTCCGGAGCAGACAGCCAGCAGGGGGCGTCCGTGAGGACACCACGAGGCCTGGCCCCCTCGGCCGCTGACATCGGGCCTCCCACCCACTCCCGGCTCAGGTGGGCGGCCAGCACCTCCCACACACTGACCTTAGGGAGGGGACGGGGAGGGGAGGCATTGGAACAGAGGGTGAGACAATGGCAGGAAGGTCCCCGGAAGGCTGACAGGGTTTGTTGGCATCTGGAGTGGGAGCGCCACTGCGATGGCCTCGGGCCTGCCCCGGAGCAGGTGCCGGGAGAGGGCCGAGGAGGTGCAGCCGCCCCACAGGCAACACCTCTGCCGGCTGCTGCCCATGGCAGGTGGCCAGGGCCACGTCGGCTGCCAGGCGGGCTCAGGAGGACCGCCAAGAGGAGATTCCGGAGTCGGGAACAAAAGGGAGAACTTGGGCTCCGTCAGCGGGAATTTTCGGGAAGCAGAGCCAAACCGGACACTGGACGGCAGAGAATTAGACAGGCGGCCTCGGCCCCACGGCCCGCCCGGGCGCCCGCCGGGCAGGGACCAGCATGGCTTCGATCGGGCTGCAGGGCTAGGGTGCAGGCAGATCATCAGGAGAAGATCATCAGAAGGCGGCGCTTCTGAGGGCACCTGGAGACCGGGTGCTGCCCGAGGCGTTTCCGGAGTGCAGTGCCCAAGGGCAGGAGACAGCGACCACTGCCCTTCAGTGCGGGGGAGCGGGGGGGGGGGCCACTCCCGCCGCGGCCCCTGGAGGGCAGGTGCTCCGCCCCACGGCCTCCCGGCTGCCCGCAGGTCAGGTCCCCGGGCAGAGGACAGCCCCACGGCCAGAACAGGACGCGGAAGACAGCCATTGTCGCTTGTGTTTACAATCTGAGGCTTCGCGGGCGCTAGAGGAGGAAACCTCACGGGGAAACCCTCTGGGTGCCAGAGCAGGGCTCGTAACCGAGGTGCCCGTGCTCACGCCCGCAGCGCTCACAGGCGGGCGTCCGGAACCCGACCGCTGGAGAACAGAAAGCCTCCGCAAGGCGGCCCAGGGGAGGGCACCCCGGGCTCACAGGCCAGCGGAGTGAGCACCTCTGGGGAGGCTGTGGTTCCAATCCAGCTAAAGAACCAGGAGGAAAGCAGCTCTGGCCTGGCTTCTCCCGCTTCCCCTGCCCCGTCCCCCCAGGATGGCACCGCTGCTGAGCGGAGGACAGGCTGGTCTGTGGTGGACCTGCAGCCCGGTGAACATGCTTGGACACGCATGCAGGGCACTCCCTCCCTCGCTCCACTCCTGGCGGCACACACACACACACACACACACCCAGAGGCCACAGAGGCTGCGGGCACTCGGCCCCCTCCCCCGCCGGCACGCGGGTTTTCGCTGGACCGTCTGGCGGCTCCTGGTTCGGACAGGGGCTCATTGTTGGTGGTGTGGATGCCCTCTTGAGGACGACAGGGCAAGTCTCGGTCCAAGTGAGAGTTAACGTGTGGGCATCTTACATGCGGCCTGGCGGGGGGCTTCACGGGGAGAGGGGCGGGAGGGGGCAGGGCGCGGGAGGGCCTCACATGACCACGCACTTGCCCTTGAGCTTCTCTTTCCTCTTCTGCTGCTTGCTCTTCTTGCCGTCGATCTGGAGGCTCACGGTCCTGCGCTTCTCCAGGGTGAGCAGCTCCTGGAAGAGCTCCTTGACGTTGTGGTTGAGCTTGGCCGAGGTCTCCATGAAGGCGCACTTCCAGCGGCGCGCCAGCGCCTCCGCCTCGCCGCTCTCCACCTCGCGGCCCGCGCTCTCATCGCACTTGTTGCCCACCAGCATGATGGGGATGCTCTCCACGTCACCCTTGATCTCGCAGATCTGCTCGTAGATGGGCTTGAGCTCCTCCAGGGACTGGCGGCTGGTGATGGAGTACACGAGGATGAAGGCGTGGCCCTTGGAGATGGACAGGCGCTGCATGGCGGGGAACTGGTGGCTGCCCGTGGTGTCCGTGATCTGCAGCGTGCAGATGCTCTTGTCGCAGCTGATGACCTGCCGGTAGGTGTCCTCCACGGTGGGGATGTAGCTCTCGCGGAAGGTGCCCTTCACGAACCGCAGCACCAGCGAGCTCTTGCCCACGCCGCCCGCCCCGAACACGGCCACGCGGTAGTCGTTGCTCTGCTCCGGCATGTTGCCTGAGGCTGCCTCTCAGCCACAGCGCCTGGCGGGGACAGAGGGAGAGTCAGTGAGAGTCAGTGGGAGGTCACTGGGGTGCCTAACCCTCTGTAGGGGTGTCGAACTCAATCAGAGAAGGGGCCAAAATCTAAAATCCAGCCTAAATCGCGGGCCGAATGGTTTACTGAACAGTCATAAACTGTCATTGTGATGGAAACACAGCGGAGTGCAGTGATGACAGCGCGGTGCGGGCCACATTGCAAGGCCTGGCGGGACGGATTTGGCCCGCGGGCCTTGTGTTTGACACATGTGGAGATGGGGGAGATACAGTTTGCCTTCGCTCTCTCAACATTCAAATTTCATTTAAAAAATCCTGCAGTTCTAAATCCAATAAGTATAGTCAGTCCTCAACTTCTAAAGAGACAGACAGTCTGCCGGGTGGCCAGCTGGGCAGCCTGCTCGTCTGCCCAGGAGAGCTCACAGAGAGATGGCGTTTCACACCCCAACACACACATGTTTAACCTCAAGTTCTGAAAATAAACACCCAATACTCTACTCATAACAAGGGACTTTTTCCAAGCAGGGGAGGGGGCAGTAAGGAGGAAAGGCTATTATCTTCATTCTCCATCCAATTAACTCAGGAAATCCCACCTCCTTCCAGAGCTGGTGTGGCAGTGAGACACTGGGAACACAGAGGGGCCTGGGAGTGCCGGTCCCGGCGGGCAGCACTAGTGGGAGGCGAGGCTGAAATGCCAGCCAGAGCACCGGCCCTGGCCCTCCGCAGACTGCAGGGGGCAGCGGGGCACAGACGGAGCAGTGCAGGTGCCATGCGGGGCCACGACTCAGCTGGCAGCCGTCTGTCGGCAGAAGAGGGGACAGTTAACGAAGCTGGGAGAGAGCTTTCACTCCTCAGCATTCCGACAGCACAGGTGCCTCACGTTTGTGAGTCAGAGGCGCTGAGCGTCACCAAGAGAGGGTATAAACCGCTATAACAGCCGCTACCATGGAGCAGAATGGGGATTGTCTTCATTGCAAACTCCATGCCGATACCTGCCACCTGCCACCCCGCCCTTCCTGGGTGAGAAAGGCCAGCAAACACACCAAGCAGAAAAGGAGGCAGCCCGAGGCTTTGCTTCAGCGCAGTCTACAATCACAGAAAACGTGAAACACGGAGCCATTCCCCAGACACCGCTGTGCTCCCACTTCTCAAACCTTAGGAACGGAGGACAACAGTGACAGCCATTTCAGAGGCAGAGCAGCTACTGAGTGTGGTTCCCACGGAGAGCGTGGCTGCAGCCGGCAGAGGGAGGACATCACAGACGAGGACTGTGCATCCCACACGCGGGCCTCCACGCGGCTCAGACCCCGGGCGTGCTCCCCGCACTTTGGAATCCCAACCTCCTCCACCTCCCTCCCCCGCCCCTCGAGAAGCTAAGAAGCATCAGTGCTGAGAGGAGGCGGGAAGATGCCAGGAAGTTCAGGGGCAGAGAAGCCTGTGAAAGCCTGCCCAGGAGCGTGACTACTCCATGAAATGTCCATAAGGTCCCTGCAGTCACTGCACAAGCACAGACTGCGGGGAGCTGCTCTGCTGGTGACAACGCGGTGGCCTGTGGCTCTGGTGCCCACCCTCTCCGCACCCACCGGGCCCTGGCGTGTGGGCAGAGTGTGCCCCGAACCTCTCGGTCTGCAGCTCACAGCCATTCAGTGTGTGATGACTATTCCCGGCCAACCTAACATGTCTCCATTATTAACTGGCACCCAAGACACAGAAAACAAAGATAGAGCATAAGACAAGAAGCATTTGTAGCTACTGTCATTCATGGATCCAAGAAATATCTATTGAACTTCCTCTAAAGGCAGGGCTCTGGGCCAGCAAACAGCTGTCAGAGCACAGACCTCAGCCAGGGGCTCTGACCTTGAAGAACTTGGGATCAAGTGAAGCAGAAACTCCATGTCACTAAGATTTAATAAATCACATCACGGCGGGGCTGCACAGGAGAGGTTTGGAGGAGCCTACCCAGCCGGGGTAGGGGACCAACTCCCCTAAGCAGTTGGCATGGCAGCAGGAAGAGGCAGGTGAAAGGTGAAAGGTCACTGGGTTTATGAGAGGTCTGGGGCAATAATGTCATCCTCATCTCCAACTCTAACAGTTTTCCCCCAAACCACATTCTCCCACCTCAGAGTCATCATTCTACAAGCATTTATTAAAGAAGAAAAAACCCTCCGCATAATATGCAAACATGGTGCTTACCCGACAGAAGCGCACGGCATAGAAGACAAGCACGGGAGGGTGCGTGATACCCACCGGGCAGGTGCGGGCAGAGGCGTAAACAAAGGCAGGCGGAGAGCCGGGCAGCGCCTGTCCTGTCGCGCCCTCAGGGAAGGTTTCGCAGAGGGCTGGGGGGGTGGGGAGGGAGTGAGGCAATGAGAACACATGTGCCACCAGAGGAGAGACCCCCGGAGTGGAGCGAGAGCAGGGTGAGGGCCAGCACTCTGGAGAACCACGCGGAAGCAAACAGCACTGCAACGGATTAGAACCAGGAGAACAGGGAGAAGGCACGCGGCATGAGGGGAGAGGATCGAATGCCACACCCACCCAGACTAACGAGACAACTTGGCATGCCCTTTACTTGAACTTGCTGCACTTGAGTTGCCTGAGTTGTAAGATGATGGAGTAACATCTCATCATATATATAATTTCAGAGAAGAAGAGAGAACCACCCCAATTTAATAATATAAAAAATTAATCTTTTCTAAAAAAGAAACATCAATGATGATAGAGAATCATGGATTGACTGCCTCCTGCACACCCCCCACTCCCCACCCCACCGGGGATTGAGCCCACAACCATTGACATGTGCTTTGACTAGGAGTCGAACCACAACCTCCTTGTTCATAGGTCGATGCTCAATCACTGAGCCACACCATCAGACGGTAACACCTCATCTTCGCAGAGCTGTGGCATTCAGTGAGACAACACAAGGTCAAACATCCAACACAGCTGCCAGGGTAAAGGGCTCTGGCTATTTTCAGCAAAGACCAGCCAGTAAAGGGTCACAAGGAGCAGTGAGGAGCGTGGGGAAAACTGGAGAGACGATGACAGAATATGAAGGGGCAGATTCTGTCAAGAAGACGTGGAGGGTGTGCAGCTAAAGCAGTGCACAGAGGGAACTTCATAGCTACAAACACTGGCATTAAATGAAAATAAAGGTCTCAAATCAGTAATGCAATCTTCTACCTTATTAGAGAAAAGCAGCAAACTAAACTCAAAGAAAGAAAAAAATAGATTATAGTAAAAATTAGCAAAATAATAAATATAAACACAGGAAGGATGAACTAATAAAACCAGAGAGGTTCTTTAAAAATGTCTACAAAATTATCAAACGTTTTGTTAAACTGACCAAGAAAAAAAAAAAAGGTGAAAAGACTCAAATTATTAAAATCAGGAATGAAAGAGGAGACATTACTACTGACTTTACAGAAATAATAGATTATAAGAGACTCCTATGATTAACTGTATGCCAACAAGTAATATAACTTAGATGAAACAAACTACCAAAGCTGACTCTGGAAGAAATAAAAATATAAATAGACCTGTAACAGGTAAAGATATTAAATTAGTAATCAAAAATTATCCACAAAGAAAAGCCAAGGTCTACAGGGCTCCAGGGGCATTCATTTAAAGGAGAATTGATAGCAGTTCCTCACAAATGCTCTCAGAAAAATGACTGGAAGAAAATACTTCTCACTGTTTCTGAATCTAGCATTACCTGATACCAACACCAGACAAAGATATCACAAGAAAACTACAGACAGTATGTCTTATATTAGTAAAAAAATTTTTTAAAAATCTTATAGATACAAAAATTCTCAGAAAAATACCAGCAAATTAAATTCATCAATGAATAAAAGGATTATACAGCATAAACAAGTAGGATATATACTAGTATGCAAAGTTGTTTTAACATCCAAAAATTAATACAGCACACCTTATATTGATAAGAGACAAAAGACAAAAGCTATGATAGTTTTAGTAGATACAAAAAACTGACAAAATTCAGCACCTAATGGTGAAAAAAAAATGAATAAACCTTAAACCATTTGAGCAAACCAATATGAAAACACAACTGCAGCAACTTGTTGTGAGTAATAAGGAAATAAAAGGTAACTTCCTTAATCAAATAAAGGGCTTATAATTTAAAACCCAGAGCTCAAATAATATGTAACAATATTCTCTCCCTACGATTAGGAAAGATTAGTGTTCACTCTTACAGTTCCCCCTTTTTTAATTGTAATTACAATTTAATACTTGTGTAGACATGAATGGTCATTCTCCCAGAACCAAATAAAGCACCAATCAGAATTATATAAAAGTAATTACAATCAAGAATTTGTTTTTATCTTTTTTGGAGATGAAAAGTATTAAGAAACAAAAGGTTAGACTCTCAAACCTCAAAGGGAAAGTAGGGGAGGGTGGGGGTAAGGGGCAGAGATCAATCAAAGGACTGTGTGCATGCATATGGGCCTGGCCAGTGGCCATGGACAAAGGGGGGTGGGGGCATATTTGGGGAGGGGTTTGGGATGGCAATAGGGGGATGAGGACAATTATGTGATACCATAATCAATAAAATTAAATAATAATAATAATAATTATTATTATAATAAAAAGAAAAGGAGAAAGAAAAAGAAAGAAAATATGAGGAGAGAGCATGACTCTCTACCTAGTAGGGACCCTATGGATTTGAAGGAATGATTAAGCTATATATTATAATAATCTTTTGAGCCTGGCCAGAGTATCTCAGTGGTTGAGCATGGACCTATGAACCAGAAGGTCACCCATGAACCAATAAATACATATATAAGTGGAACAACAAATTGATGTCTCTCTCTCTGTCTCAAATCAATAAATATGAAAATATTGAAATACTGAATATCTTAAATGAATATATATATGAATTAGTTATCTCAAATCTATTTTTTTAGGGCATGGACTCTTAATAACTTGTATCTACTGTAGGATTGAATGAGTTTTAAAAATACAAAGATTAAATAGTTCTGACAGAGTAATTGTTGGAGGTGATAAATATATAGAAATAAATGGATGAATAATTTTCTGAGCCTGAAAAAAAAAAAGAAAGAAAGAAAAAGAAACAAAAGGTTGTAAAGGTAATAAAATTTAATTTTGGTGTATCCTAATAAAATTGCTTAGTATGTTCTATCAATTCCAAATAAGTAAAATAATATAAGAACATATTTTCAATCTTTATAGAATGAAGAGAAAAACACATTAATGATTAAATAGTCTTGGATTTTCTTTACTTCTGAAACATAGTAACCTCCATTTTGGGTAAAAACTGCTGTTTAAAATTTTAACCCTGCTATTCTGGCTTTTATAAACATTTGCTTGCTTAAATAATAGGGGAAAATAAGTCTACTCCCATTCCAGAGAGGCCATAAACTATGGCTCAGACAGAGTTGTCAGTGCTGGCGCCAGGCCAGCCTTGAGATACAGTCTCACGGCCCTGTCCCAGCACCCAGGACCTCTTTCTCAGAAGGTCTGAAGTCTCATTCCAAATTTGGAAAACAAAAAACTAAAAAATATATAAATAGGAAAGACTTCCTCTATTTGGGGCCCAGAATTCCTCTGGGCCCGCTAGCACTAGTGAAATGAAGAAGACTCCAAATAAATTTGGCTTATCAATTAAGGCGTCTTCTGATGTACAGTATAACACTTCTCCCACAGATGAATTCACAAATATAAAAATCAATGTACATTTATATTATAAAGCACAAATCTCCACCACCACAGTCATACGTTTATGTGCAAAGTCGCTGTTGCATGGCTTTGCTATGGAAAACAGAGCACAAGCTCAATGGACAAAGTTGTCTTTGAGGAGCTGTGAGCGACTTATTTCAAATCTGAAGAACAATATTTTGTCGGTAACCTTCCCCAAAACCAAGCCAGGAGAGGATTTCCTTTCTTTTGTTCTCCAGGTGGTCTGCGTCATGCTTAGGGGCCTGAGGAAGCAAGAAGACACACTTCACAAAACAACACAAGTTTGCCATCTGTCCAAGGAAGACGCCTCCTCTGATAGGGGCGGCTTCCTTCCACCATGTTCTACCCACTTTGTATCTTCTAAGTCATCTTTACGACGCTAACCACTGGCTAACGCCCTCCTGTTGTTTCAGGTGCTGCTTGGTTTCCTGTGACAGTTCTGCATCTACGTAATGTCTTTCTTCAGATTTGATGCTCAGAATGACTCTGCATCCTGATTTGGACATGGCTTCACTCAGCCGACCCTTAACCTGAGTAGGTGCATCTAGTTCACACTGAATTCTATCTAGCTGAACACGCAGCTGCTCTTCATCAGCTCGGACGGCATACCCACTCCTGCGCTGAACCTCCTGTTTGATTAGGGCCTGTGGGTTCTGTGGGGAAGGCCCATGAGTTTCCTTGTGTATTGTGCAATGTTGGCCACAGCTGTAGTTTGATCTTCGGTAATTCACCAATATCTTCAGCCATAATATCGAATTCAGGCTGATGCTGCCTGGTCTTGACCCTTCAGCTCTTTGAGACCCACCCTTGGTTCAGGACCTAACTTTTCAGAATCAGGGTTATCCACCGTGGCCTGTTCCCAGAGAATAGGGTCATGGCAACAGGAGGATTCTGTAAAAGCTGTTGGATCTGAGACAGGATTCCAGGGCAGGAGGACTAGGGAAACTGAGACAGGAAAGTTAAAACAAGGCCACACAGGGTGGGCCATTTGCAGCCAGCTTGTAACTAAAAGCCATTTTCTTCCCCAGCCCAGGGCAGAGCAAATGGTTAAGAAAATTAGAGAATGCAGGAAAGAAGGCGGCGGGGGAGGGGTGGGAAAAGGGCAGCTTTCCTTCCTAAGCAGAGAAGCCCGCAGTCTCGGGCTTGAAAAGATAGCGTTGCCAGGTGCCTCTCGTGTGTTAAAAATAAAGGACCTTGACAATGAATTTGTCCCAAAATAGTCGGCAGAGGGGTTTTGAAGCCTGTAGTCCGGAGGGTATTCAATGCCTAGACCCCCACCCATCCTGCCCTTCAGGTTAGCTGAGAGAGTCCACTCATAAGCCAGATGCATAGGTTTGCTTGCTTTGCTTTTTTCAATAAAGATGCATGCTTTAATTGTTTAATAAATTGGCTTTTCACACTGCAGTCAAGGCCTCTTGTGTAAATTCATTTACATGAGAAGACAAGGATGTGACTGCCCGGCCCAGAGCACCCTCTGGGGTCTGTGAGAACAGGCCCCTGTGGAGGCAGGAAAACGTGGATCTGCGGGAGGAAGTTCTCCAGCCAGAGGGAGGGCCACACAACTTGCTGCAGTTCTGTCTCTATATCGGGTTGTTCGACGTGGGCCTCTAGCCTTGTAGCTGGACTCTTCTTGGAGTGCCATTCAGAGAACGCTCAATAGCATAGATGTCAATGTCTGCCTGATCAACTGGCAATGTGTTAACGCCCTCTGCCTTACTGTAAGGGCCTGAATTGTATATTTTAACCGGGTAACTTTATTTAAAAAAAAAAAGTTGTTATACAATTAAACAGTGGGGTGCCTCCTTAGTGTACATTCCCTCCACTGCTTACAAAAGTGCACGTGTTTCCTGTATTTTGGCAATTTGTCTGGATGCAACTAAAATCCCACCTTTAATCATTTCTAAGGGCAAGAAGAAAAAGATTGAACGTGTTTTGGGCGTTTTTATTCTTGAAACTGAAAAAGCCTGGGCCACACAACCAGTTATAAGGAAGTGGGTCGATTTAATGCTGCTGCTTGTTATGCGAGGGAGCCAAAGAGGTCTGCTAGTCTGGGATGCAGCCAGCACTCACCACCCTAAAGACATGAAGACATTTCTTCACGAAAGAAAAATAGATCAGATAATGATTCCCGCAGGAATGACCGCCTACCTGCACACTCTTGATATTGCAATAAACAAGCCATTCAAAGACAATTTGTGCATAGAAATTAATGATTACATTGAAAATAGAATGGAGAGAAATCAGCGTGGAAACTTTGTGAAACCTAAACTGCAAAAAGTTGTGACTTGGGTGAAGAATTCATGGGAGAAAATCACTGACAGTTGCATTGCAAATGCACTGCGAGCAGGCTACCTTGACAAGAAGTACTCATTTAAAGACAGTGCTATTGCTAAACATGAGAGATTTGGTCCACTGATTCTGAAAGAAATGGAGTCACAAGAAATTCACCAGGAAATTCAGGAATTGGATTGTTATGATGATGTTCCAGAAGATGATGACATGATTGTCATTGAATAAATGAGTAAATTCTTGATACTGTAGGATTCACAGTTTGTCTGGTTTGTGTTGACAACTACTGTACTACCGTATACAGGTAATAAATATCCTTTATTTTCATTAAAAAAAAAGTTGTTATTTAAAAAAAAGCACACACACACAAAATAAAAATACCCAGAAGACATCAGGAGGGCAGGAATCCACTGTGTGTGCTGCCATTATCTGCTTCTTCTACAACTGAGTCACTGCCTGCAAGGAGAGGTCCCCAGACCTCGGTGGAGAAGGTGTTACAGGTGACAGCCGGCATTGCTCCTCACAGCCAGGCACCAAGAGAGTCCACGTGTCACCACAGAGATGACAAGCAAACAATGGATACTCATACCATGGAACCAACGTATTCCCACAGGAAGAGGATGCGGTGCAGAGACGAAGCCTATGGACAGCTGGTGAAGCTGACAATGCAGACGCCGGAGGCATGAGAAACATTGTCTCTCTCCTCCATGTGGGTGGTGGCTACAGAGCTGTTCGTGCGGTTGTACAGATTGCTCTGAATAATTTCATTCTTTTTCAATTATGGAAATAAAATACCAAACCTTAAAGTCGTCAGAAACTGGGTCCTCCCGTAGGAATCCCCCTCAGGTCCCAGTAAAAACCCTCTTGTTAGGTGCCGCACAGCAGGAACGGGAAGGAAGGCTTTGCCTTCGGAGGTCGGGCAGGCTGCCACGCAGCAGGTAAGTGGAACGTGGGCTGTGAGGAGAGCGGACGTCATTTCGCACCAGGCTGGAGAGTGATGGGACTGACCAGATGACTAGAAGGACGAGTGTAGATTTCTCCGTAGAGATATCTGGGGGCTAAGGGAGGGGAGGGGCAATCGGAGTCAGGTGACGTAGGTTAGAGGAGTGGAGGAGGTTACCTGCAGAGGCCCGGAGATGCCGGCCCAGCGGAGAGAATCAGGAGAAAGCAGGGCCACCGGGAGCCAGGCTGTGTGAGCAGGATGGTCTTCAGGGAGAGAAGGATGGAGCGAAGACACGGGATGCCTGCTGGGACGGGCACAATCCAGCCCAGCCGCTGTCCGGCCTAAACACTGCGAACAGCCAGTGGGAGTGGTGTCAGGCATGTCTTTAAGAAATAAGATTGTAGCTGAAACCGGTTTGGCTCAGTGGTAGAGCGTCAGTCTGTAGACCAAAAGGTCCCAGGTTCGATTCCGGTCAAGGGCATGTATGTTGGTTGCGGGCACATCCCCGGTAGGGGGTGTGCAGGAGGCAGCTGGTCGATGTTTCTCTCTCATCGACGTTTCTGGCTCTCTATCTCTCTCCCTTCTTCTCTGTAAAAAAATCAATAAAATATATTAAAAATAATAATAAGAAGAAGATTGTAGAATCCTCTTCGATTCACACACACGGGCCCCTCTTTGACAGTCCTCGTCCCCTTTCCAGAAAAAACGAGGCTCTGTTGTCATCTCCTGGTGCTCACTGTGATAATCTTAAAGAATTCATTCACTGCTTTCATGACGGATCTTAATGTCTTTTTATTTTCCAACCACAGCTGGCATACACTGTTGTTAGTTTTAGGTGCACACGTGGTGACAGACGTGTATGATCCATGAGGCGGTCACCCTGGCACTCGATGACTTGACGAGTGACTCTGGGCCACATCTCCCTGCAAATCCGCGTGACCTTCCTCCGCGGCCGCGGTCCCGTCAGGGGCTGTGCTTTTGGTCACTTACCGGCATTTCAGCTTTCCAGATGCAATACTTACAACTCGTTCCACGTTTTAGATCGTCTGCTATGCTTTTCCGCGGGCTGTGTCTGAGCCCATCAGCCCACAGCTCTGGGAGGACTGTGAAGGCTCTTGCTGTGGAGGGAGCCCGGGGGCCGGACCCCCCAGCAGCCTCGCTCAGTGGGGCGGGATTTCTGCGTCAGCAGCATTTAGCTCTTACTATTTTTTTAGCGTTGTTTGTTTTTTGCCTACGTGACACTCAGTTGCCAATTTGTGTACTTTATCACCTTCCTTTCGTCCATTTTGCACTTTCATCAGCCATTACTGGTAAATTCTTCCATATGGCAGGAACATTTCCGAGGCCATGCTCTCACTTGGTTCTTCGGCTCTAAGGATGATGTAAGTTTAACTTCACGATCCAGCGTTGGTGATGGGAAAGCTGCAGTCAGTGCGCCCCCGTCTTTGTAGGACGCTGCGTGTTCCCCTCTCTTTGGGGGAGTCATGGCCCTGTCTCCATTCTGGGACGTTTTGACAGGAAATGTCCAGAGCTGCTTTTCAAGTGCGGGGTCTTTGGGGGTGAGAAAGGGTTAAAACCTTATCCTTTCTGCAGCTTAGAGACATTTTTTTTCTATTTCTAAAAAGTACATCATCCCAATCCCTGTATCTTCCTGGAACTTGTGTCCTATGGTGGGCCCTCTCCCTGGCTGTGCCTTCTGTGGACTCTCCCTATGCTTCCATAGCCTTCCTGTGGTCTGACTTTTCCGTTTCCACAGAAGCACTTCCTTGTTTTAGGAAAGGCGATACAGCACTGGATTTCAACAAGACTGCTACCTGAGGTTTGTTGCTGCTGGCCTTGTGTTCTTATTTATCTGAAGATCTCCGTTCTGTTTGTTTATTGTTCTCTCCACGCTGTTGGTCTCACCCAATGGCCGGATCTCGGCGGCCTCCTGGTTTATGGAGGAGTCAGTCCTCCTCTGGGGAGGCGATGGCTGGCTTCTCTGGTAACGCGCAGCCTGTTCCCCTCACCAGCAGACCCTGCGGACTGTCCCTCCACCCTCTGCTTCCCTTTTCTTGAACTTGTTTGGACTGAACTGTCTCTACAATCACTTGTATGTGAAGCTTCAGCTACACAGACAGATGCACAGGAAGGAGCAAGGAAAAGGTGTGGCCCGCTCATCTCAGCAAAGAGGCACAAAACCTAACAATGTTTGTCCTGGAATGCAGCATTCAAATGAGCTCAGCCCGGGCTCTCCTCGTCATTAAGGCCTGAGTTCCAGGAAAAGGAATTTGACTTCCTGAGTCACAGAAGTCTCCACCCGGGAGCAATTAGATTCTGGCGAGTGACATGAAAGAAGCATCTTAGCTAAACCAAGCTTTGCATCTATTAGATCTGGATTGAGCCCGTTTCCAAAAACAAATAAATAAAATGGAGAACAATGACTGAAAAAGCTCCACTCCTTCAAAGTAAAGCTGGGAAGTCTGACAGTGGCTATCCTCGCTGCCCATCCCCACAGCCCAAGGCAAGGGCTACCCTCAAGGGCACACGCTCATCCACTCCGCGTTTGCTTGCTTCTCTGCAAGACCCTCTTCTGAAATGCATTTGTCTTTATTATAACATTTAAACTTTATTAACTTTAGGCAAACTCCACCCTTACGGCTGGAACTTGAGAGTCTACGTGTGAAACTACGACTACCAGAAGGTAAGTGGGCCCCATAGGTAGAAATAAGGATATTACTAAGCACATCCGTCAGGTGCCCTGAAGGAAACCAAGAAACCGAGCCAGCAGCGCATACTTCTCTAGGCAAGAACAGCTACTTTTACATAATGTTAGAATCTCAATTTAACAAAATTCACTCCAGGTGCCTTCATTGCTGAACCTAAAAAACGAGATGTGTTTCTCAGAGGCAAACACATGCCCGATTGTAAGGAAGTTAGACCTTCACAGCTCGTCTTTCTCCAGAAGCAGAGTGCCCGGCCGGCCTGGCCCAGCAGTTTAGTCAGTCCAGGGTTCCCGGTCAGGGCACAGGCCCGGGCTGTGGCTCAATCCTCAGTGGTGGGACTGCGAGAGGCAGCCGATCTGTGATTCCCTCCCTTCATTGATGTTTCTATCTCTCCCTCTCCTTTCCTCTCTCTGAAATTAATAAAAATCCTTTTTACATTTAAAAATGAAAGCAGCAGCATCCTCTTTTCAGGAACCTGGTCTCCCGTGCGATGGAGAAACCCAGCGAGGCCACGTGAGAGCAGGTGCTGGGCAGGCGCCACCCCGCGCCGGACGGGCAGCCCCCGCGCCAGGCTACAAGAAAGGGCCTCAGGGGCTCAGTGCCAGACTCTAACGTCTGCGCGAATGCAATTCATGGAGAGAAATCGAGCATTTCTTAGGATGCAAGGGGCAGAATAAACGATTCTCTCAGTTTCATTAGCAAAAGGCAAATAAGCCCACAGCTTATGCATAGCAATAAGGTTCCCTGATGCTTGTCTGAAGCGACTCCATTTGGAGAACCATGATGGGCAGGAACCCCAAAGAGCCAGAAAAAAATGCCCTGAAAAACACGTTCAGACTGCCCGGCGCCTGACCGCACGGGGCCCTCTCTGCTTCTGCCCGTTGCCTGCACAAGGGTGAGGGAAATTAAAGGGAAATCATTGCAATGATAAGCAAGGCTACCAGCTAGGTCACAGCACACGTCACCCAGTTTGACCCACGTGTCCAGTGCAGCACAGAGCCCTGCAGGGAAGTAAACACGGGAGGAGGAGGGCGACTGTCACGCAGATGCTGTGCCCAGGAGAATGTGCGAGGTGCCATGCACCACTGCTTCATGCTGCTGCGGACCGCACATCCAACCACGCACTGTGCGCCTGCGCCTGCTGAGTGGACGGCTTCAAGTTTTAGCCAAATGAAAGGCGGCTACTTGGCTAAGGAATACAGACTGGCAAGTGGTGAGAAAGATTCCTTCCAACAATCACCAACTATTTTGTCACTCAACTCTTGGAATCCAAGAACCCATTGCCCAAGCCAAGGTCATGAAGAGTTATCCCTCTGTTTTCTTCTATGAATGAGAAGAAAACACGCTGTCTCCATGTTTGCATATGGCGTAGCAAGGGCCCAGGTGATCCCTTGACGTGGAAATCCAGTTGCCCTGCTTGTTCCCTGAATAGTCCTGACTCTTGTCCGGATCAATTAAGTATAAACGGGCGTGTTGGCTTCTGTGCTCAGTTCCACTCCATTGGTCCCTGTGTCCATCCTGGGCCGTATCTCACCGTGTACTTCCTCCCTCCATAAATCACACAGTAAATCTGTGTGACTGTAACTAACAATAAATGTGAGCACAGTTAGCATCACACTATACAGAATAAGCAACAAGCTGTAATCTGATCTGACAAACTAAATAAATAACTAAACTAGACTTAATCAAAATTAAACACTTTATGCAACGAAGGACATTATCAAGAAAGCTAATTGAGAACCTCCACAATGGGAGAAAATAGATATACATGATAGGGATCTAGTACCTAAGATATATAGAAAACTCTCAGAACTGAATAACAAAAAGAAAAACAAATAAAAAATGAACAAAGAGCTTGAATAGACATTTCTTCAAAAAAGATACACACATGGCCGACACGCCCATTATTAGTCAGTCATCAGGAAACGCTGGTCAATGCCACAGCTCTGCCACCTCACACCCAGTAGGATGGCTACCATTTAAAAACATAAAAACAAACACGAGTGGGAAGAACAATGTCATGGAAGACGTGGAGAAATGCTGGTAGAAATCTCAAACGGTGCAGCCTCTCTGAAAACAGTGAAACAGAATTACCAACATCTACTTCCAGGTGTACTTCCAAAGTGACTTAAACAGTGTGTCAGTGACATGTTCCTATATGATAAAAGGCTACTGTGCAAACTGTTCCCTCAACCAGGAGTCTGACCAGGGGGCAGGGTCAGCCCACCAACTGCCCTCGACTCCTCTCCCTGCCAGCCCAGCCTGCACCAATCTGTGTGCAGGGCCTCTTGTACTGGCATAACTGAAGGGATATTTGCACATTCATGTTCAGAACAGCACTGCTCGCAATAATTAAGAGGTGGGAGCAAGCCAAGTGCCCACCAATTTGGATAAACAAAATGTGGTCTACACGCAATGGAACACTGATCAGCCTTCAAAGGGAAGACAGCTCTGACCAACGCTACGATGCAGACAGCACGTGCACTGAAGTGCACCAGTCACCAAGGACAGATAGGTCTGGGCCACTGCGGTGCGGTCCCGAGAGCAGTAAAAAATAGAGAAGGAGCGCAGAGTGCTGGGTGCCAGGGCTGGGAGGGCGCTATTGCTTCACGG